TGGTTCCAAAACACATGCGTTCTTAAGTTATGCAAAACAGTTGTAGAAACTCGAATCCATTATTTGGGTGCTAGAATTTTTTGTAAATCTATTTTTATACACAAGAATTACACAAGAAGGAATTTTACCATGGACCCGTGTAATTTGGGTACTCCCTTCTGTAGAGACATTAACCACAAGAGGCCTCACTTAAATTAGCTGTTTGATAAAACTTCCTTCCAGAATGCAAACATATCAATAACTTCCTGAGATATCATCACAATATCCTCTAGATGTCACCTTGAGAACATTCCAGGATGGAAGGTGACTGCTTTTGCACTACACAGACAACTTGAAATAGACCCATTTAAGACTTCGCAACAATCAGTAGTCTAATTAAATTTTTTTTTTATTTTGCCAGTTACCTCACAGATTAAGTAGTGCTCCAAATTAAGTTTAATTCATAAAATGATCGAATTTCTCTTTCTGGCAGGTTTTCTTTATAGTTCTTTCCACCAACAGAAACAAAAACAAAAACCTTCCTTTAAGAAGTGTTTCTCATTGGGGCACCTTGGTGGCTCAGTCGGCTGAGCATCCAACTCCGGCTCAGGTCATGATCTCACAACTTGTGAGTTCGAGCCCCGCATCAGGCTCTGTGCTGACAGCTGGAGCCTGCTTCAGATTCTGTGCCTCCCTCTCTCTCTGCCCCAACTCACTCACATCCTGTCTCTGTCTCTCTCAAAAATAAATAAACATTAAAAAAAAAAAGAAGTATTTCTCATAGATTCTGATTTCTCTTGAATCTGTCATTCTCCCCAAAGGTCCTCCCCCAAGCATTTCCCAATTTCTAAGGCTGCTCATCTCTTTACCTGAAACATCTGAGGGAGGAGAGTATAGCAAAGTTTAAAGGCAGAAATTAGTTATTCCTGGACCGGCAAGAGCATTTATTTGGGGATGATTACCCAATAAATTGTTTCCTCTTTAATTTTTTTTAAATGTTTTTATTTATTTTTGAGAGAAAGAGAGAGAGAGTGAGCTGGGGAGGAGCAGAGAGAGAGGGAGAATCAGAATCTGAAGCAGGCTCCCAGCTCTGAGCTGTCAGCACAGAGACTGAAACAGGGCTACAACTCGTGAACCACAAGATCATGACCCAAGCTGAGGTCGGACACTTAACTGACTGAGCCACCCAGGTGCCTCACAATTGTTTCTCTTTAATATGCCAAGTCCACAGCAGGCTAATAACTGACTCATTGGTCACGTGGTTCAATCAACCCAAACGAACTGTGAGGTAATTCATTAAGGATTTTAAACACCTGAGAGCATGAAATCAAGCTGCAGAGTGGGTTGGAAACACAGGAAGACTTTTATAAGTACTTCAGGGAGATCTGGATTATCTTGGGTGTTATTTCCCTCCATACAGACAGACTCAGCCTGGAGGGTCTGATTTTCAAATATTATAGAAAAACCTTGGAGTATCGATCATTTTCTTGTAAAAAAAGTAGTCTACATAATAGAGGAGGTCTGTAGAGTCAGTCTTATAGGATTTCCAAGGGGATCCTTGCTGACCTGCCCTCCCCACCCCACAACACACACCAAATAAGAAACTCCTGGAGACAAGGGGACAGGGAGCTGCAGAGAGACATGGATAGTCATACGGAAGAAACCCCAATACTAAAATCACTCGTGGCACTCAGGGGTGGGGGTGGGGCACGGGACTGCACCATGTCCACTGAGGACAGTTGCTGCGGTTGCTGACACTCCCCACAGCTGCATTATCAGTCACCTTTGGACGCCGGGACAGTGATCCCAGTTCACTCCCTGTTCACCACTGGACAACCTCCAGGACCGCATGCAGATGCTGGTGACTGCCAGAGAGAGGAAAGTGAAAAACAACCTGCGGTGGAGTGTGCTCAAGAGTTCCTTAGAAAGAACTAAGGAATTACTTAGTGCCACAAGGAATTACTTCTCAGTACAAAAACAGTGTCCCTTTAGAGAGCTGGATTCTTGTTATGGAATGAAAAGGGAAAAAGAGAGGGAGAGAGATGCTTATTAACCTTCTAATAGATACACCCTGCAAGCACCTTCTTTCAAGCTTAACTGTCAACTTTTTTCTGAAATATGCATAAAGATAATTTTAAAATAGGGGGAGAGACCTTACTTATGCAACATTCCCAAATTATACTATTCAGGAAATATTAGCAATCATATATGTATTGATGCAGAAAAATTACACATTAAGCAAAATTCCATAATAAGAAAAAATAGACTTGATATTTCAAAACATGTTTATAAATCCAAGATGTCCTCTTGACACCTTCTCATTCCTGCTGGATGAAGCGTTATCAGAGGCGATTCTAAATTCCCAAAATTGAAATTTAAGTTCCCCCTAGAATAAAATTTTTAATTTTTTTTTTTTTTTTT